TTGTTGTTTTTTGGGTAGGTGGTTCAGATACACTCAGTAGGACTCTAGCTAAATATTATTTTGTGGGTAGTGCCCCCCCCAATATATATATATATGTGTCTATCAGCCCCCAGGTCAGCAAGATAAACAGAAAAAACATGAAAGCGTTGCACGCTTTATATACCAAAAGACGAACAATTCAGCATAGTGTTTCTACTTCTTTGTAAAACTGTAGCATTGCCTAGGATCAGTGTGTTGGTTTTCATTTTTGTCTGTGATATTTAATTGCAAATATCTAACAAGAGCTTTCGGCAACAACATCCCCCACCCTGCAGTTGTTACTCAGGAGACACAAAAACCTTCCTTTAAGGTTTTGTAATCCATAGTATTATGCCTGGGGATGTGCTGATTGACAATGCTAAGGCAACTCAGCTATGGATAGATGTAGAAAAACATAACTGGGATCAAACTGTCAAGCAATTAAGATTATATAAGAAAACTTTTATATAAAAAGGTGAGAGGCAAATAAATGAAATCAAAGACACTATTAACTACTTGATTCTAAGAACTCTCTGCTTCCCTCCCTCATCAGCAAAGTATTCTGAGGCCAGAACATTATGCATTGCAGAGACATTGTGATGTGATAAACAGAGAAAAGAAGTTCAGGTTGACTTCTGTTTTTCTGACAACTGAGAAGCCAAAGTAATATTAATTAATATTGCTCAATTAATTGCTCAATTAATATTGCTACAATAGCCTGGTTCAGACTGGAAGCTTCCACTTAAACAAATTGCAGCCCCCCATTACACTTGAACCTGGAAAAATGTGAGCCTGTTTGGATATAGTGGGTAACTATGGTGTGTTTAAAATGGAAAGTGAACATTTCTGATCGCCTTCTTTGGCAAGTTGAAAAGGAGAGAGGAGGTTGCAAAGGCTTGTGATGGCTTGTTCAGGTAGTGAGAAACAATACCTAACCAACTATTTTTATTTATTTTTCATTGGATTTTCATAGTTTTGCACATATCCAAGCACTGACCAGACTCAGCTTCAGCAAGTTGGTGGTTTCTTGTGCCTTCAAATCATACCCTGGGAGCATCTGTGCCGAGTTGTAGTGCAATATATTCAGTCTGGAAGTGCAATATGCCACCTCTGTTTGATGCTGGTTAGATCAGCTTCTCTATAGTCAGATACTGGGTATTATAGGCTGAAAATTCTAACCACGTCTACTTAATTCAACTCCCATTGAATTAAATGCAGCTTCCTCCCAGGTAAATCGAGTTCGGGTTGCAGTCTTAGTGATTTATTTGGATGCTTGCTTTACTATTTAACGAGTCCTGAGATCACTGTGCAATAAAAGGTAAGACAGAAATCATTGTCATCAACAACAACATTTCCCAGTTTTCAGTGGAATCTCCGTTGCACAAACCTGGCATTTCCACAACAATGCAGCAGTTCACTTTGCTTCAGGAGAAACCCAAGTAGGGTACCGAGAGGCTTACTGGAAGCAGAGTATAATTATAGGAGGCTGGTAATGCTGCTTTAATTGCTTTAATTAATTTCTATGGAACTGGAAGTAGGGCATTAACACCCTTTGTTAGATCGTGTGGTAATTGTTAGATTGTAGTATGCTCCAGTTTCTGAGGGAAAGGGGAAAACCATGTCAAGGTTCTATGTGCCAAGAGGACCATATCATTTGCAAAAGGCTGTCACTGCAAACTTCTATCTGATTTTCTTCTAAAGGCTCATAGCCATTGATAGCCTTGATAGGGTATCAGTGGCTACCAGTCGGCCACTAGGATGGCTATGTCCTGCCTTCTACTTTCAGGCAAAATGGCTCTGAAGAGCAACTGCTGTGTGGAGAGTGTCCCACTCACAAGTTTCCCACAGGTTGACTATTACGAAAACAAAACGCTAATAAAAATAATCCTAAGTGTTGAAGAAATAACTTTCTTGATCAGGTTCCAGGATGCCTTAAAAAAACCCCAACCCAAATTGTTTTGTGTGCTGATTTTCTCCTACTCATTTCTACATTTCAATTGTTTCTTTAAAACAAATTGGCCACATACTACAGTGGTACCTCGGGTTACGAACTTAATTTGTTCCAGAGGTCCGTTCTTAACCTGAAACCGTTCTTAACCTGAGTTACCACTTTAGCTAATGGGGCTTCCCGCTGCCACTGCACCACCGGCACGTGATTTCCATTCTCATCCTGAGGTAACGTTCTTAACCCAAAGTACTACTTCCGAGTTAGCGGAGTTTGTAACCCAAAGTGTTTGTAACCCAAGGTGTTTGTAACCCGAGGTACCACTGTATTTCAAAAAATCTCCATACTGCCCAGCCACACCCAACATTCTGAAAACCAAGCCTGGGTTTCAGTTGGACGTAAACTATTTCCTGGTTGCTGTATTTCCAGATTGCAAACCTTATCCCCACTTACCTGAGAGTAATCCCCTTGAAACTCATTGTGGCTTTCTTTCCAACCAAATAGAGTTGTACAGGTTGATACTATCATTCCAGTCATAATCCTGCATCATTCTGAGTTTAAAAACTCGTGACAGATGTGCGAAGGAATGCGCACCAGCTCTGCCCACAATGTCACCGTGTGTGCTGGCTCCACCCACGTTGTTTTTAACTTTTCTATACTGAGTGGGAAGATCTGAAGAGGACTTAGCATGCTTAGAAGTTGCTTCACGTTCATCTTCCTTGACAATGTGGGAAGGTTGAGGGTGGAGTGAAGCATGAGAAGACAAAAGTACTGTTTCTGGGGGACGAGGGGAAGTGTGGGGGACTTCCTGGCCCCTAAAGGACCAGGTGCACAACCTTGGGGTTATTATGGATCACCGATTGTCCATGGAGGTGCAGGTCAACACTGTGTCTAGAGCAGCTGTCTACCAGCTCCATCTAGTATGCTGGTTGAGAATCTACCTGCCTGCGCATTGTCTCACCAAAGTGGTACATGCTTTGGTTATCTCCCTCTTGGACTGCTGCAATACGCTCTACGTGGCACTACCATTGAAGGTGATGCAGAAACTACAATTAATCCAGAATACAACAGCTAGACTGGGAGCAGCCACTGGGACCATATAACACCAGTCCTAAAGGATCTACATTGGCTCCCAGTATGTTTCCAAGCACAATTTCAAGTCCTTTAAAGTCCTGCACAGCTTCATCACTGTATATTTGAAGGGACATTTCTACCCCAGCTATTCAGCCCAGACACCAAAGTCCAGCTCCGAGAGTCTTCTGGCGGTTCCCTGATTGTGAGAAGTGAAGTTACAGGGAACCAGGCTGAGGGCCTTCTCGGTAGTAGCGCCCTTCCTCTGGAAAGCCCTTCTATCACATGTCAAAGAGATAGCCAATTATACGACATTCCGTAGACAACTGAAGGCAGCCCTGTATCGGGAAGCTTTTTAAGTTTGATGTATTGTATGTTCTTTATATTCTGTTGTAAGCCACCCAGAGTGGCTGGAGCAACCCAGCCAGATGGGTGGGGTACAAGAAACAACAACAGCAATAACAACTGGCAGGAATGGAGAGGCAGGACCAGTCCCTGTGTCCTCTGCACCTCTCCTAAATAGTTACAATAACACCTAAATTAGGCTTGTGCTCTGTGCAGCAGCAAAGCTGTACTGTACACAAGGGTAAGTGGTGCACCTGTATTTTCCTGGAAGAGTGAGATCAAATTTATTAGAGAGCTTTAAAAGTGCTGTTCCCAAGATAAGCAGATTTATTTTTATTTAGTTTTTCAATTCGGCGCATAGATCTTTATCTTTGTGTTCAGCACATGGGCATATTCCACAGCAAGAAGCCTTAACAGTTTGAAGCCATTAACTTAATTCTGCACACCCTGGCTCTCTCTTGCATTTCTTGCTCTCCTTATTACCCAGTTAGGAGAAACCTAAGAGTGCCTTCTAGACTAAATATGACAGCTGCAACCCATAATTCATTTAAACAGCCTGCAGAACAGCTAGACCAATAGCATTTCCAACAGCTGTTTGCCTCCTGCTTGTTTTTTTATTTGTTTTTTCAGCAGATATGTTCAGAGACTATTTGTTTGCATTATTCACAAAAGTGTTGTAACAGCAGATATATATTTAAGCAATTTTTTTCCACCAAATTGCCTATAGTGTTAGATGCTGATCTCCCATTTTAACTCTGGTTTGTGTTCATTTTGGAGCTTCTACGATAGATGGGACTGTGGGCTTTGGCTCTCTTCACGAATTTGAGCTGGACATGTGAGAACACATGCAGGCAGGGGTATGGGTGCCATATCAGGGTTCCTGGACACAAACAGGATTGTAAACATGGTCACCTAAATGGCCCACATCCCCTTATTAAGTGAGCAAATTCCATCCTTAGAAGAACATTTACCATGGCTGGTTTATCAGTATTCAAAATATTCATTCATTCATTCATTTTATTTCATTTCTTTTTAGATTTACATACTACCCTTTGTGCTGGTCCCGGGGGGTTACCGTGTGGCATGGTCCGAATCCAGTCCGAGGTCGAGGGTGTGGTATGGAGGCTGTCCGTCAAGGCTGAAGCGGGGTCCAAGGCAAGGGGTCGGGTGTGGTCAGGAACTCTGGCAGAAGAGCAGGACAGGGTGCCTATAGGAACAGGTTACCAACAATGTTGCTCCCACAACCTGGGACTGGGCTGGCTGGCTTTTATCTGCCCCGAGGCATAGGGCGGCCCCAGTCCATAGGTGACTTGCCTCTCCTGGCCTGGAGGCGAGCACTCCTCCTGCAAGAACTTAGTTCCCTCCACCTCTCTGCCCTGAGCCTCTGCAGCTCAGGAGAGCCTGGAGGGTTACTGGACCCAGAGGCAACCTCACCTTCCCCTGATGGGGCTGAGAGTGGAGCACCTGCAGGCAATGGGTCCTCGATCACTTCCGGAGCCAGAGCAGATTCAGCTGGTGTCTGCTCCTGAGGATCCGGCACAGGTGAGGGCCCTTCAGGTTCAAGCCCCAGCCGCGGCTCAGCTGGTCCTGGAGGCAGGGACTTCTGTGCAGACTGGGATTCCTCAGGTTCAGCCCCTGAATCCGATTCCCAGGCCATCACACCCTTCTTCATAGGATCTCAGGACTATTAAAATAAATACAGGATAAAAACAAGTTAAAGAGTTTCCAAACATGGCTAACATTTATTGGAAAATCAGAACGCCCTGGTGAATTTCCCAAATCTCATCCTCGTTAAGATCATTTGCTATGGCATGGCGAAAGTGATGAAAACAACTTTGATGACATAATAATTTATAACATTAACTTGACTAAGATAAACAGAATCAAAGAACTAGATTTTCCATGTTCCTCCTTAATATTAGTATGTGTTACTAGCTCAATCTCCTTAGCAATTCAAAATCAATAATCAGTTTTAAACACATGGTCTTTATGAATAGTCTTCAAAAAGAGCATAATAGAAGAAAAATTACCCCGCTAGATAAATTATCTCCTGAATTAATCGGGTCTATTAAGTTAGAAGAAAAACCTCACTCAAGGCCACATAGCTTGGCCTGTTAATGACCTTAATTATGCTATAATGGGGGATAGCTATTGTCACAGGATTATTTGTTTCACACAATGCCATTTCAGTCATTAAAAGTATTCTTCAAAGGAAAAACAAACCATTAACTGAATGTGGTTCTGAATTTAAATGTGTATTTACTCAAAGGATATCTTTGAAAGAAAGAGGACCGAAATTAATACATGAACTCTGAACATATATTTCATCTGCTGTCCTCTGCAAACTAAAAGCATTCAACTGCATTTCCCTCAAAGTAAATTTGTACATATTTCATTTCTTTTTTCTATTATTTTTTTATTTTAGTGTTTCTTTCCTTCTTTTTCAGTTCTGCCATATAATTTCTTAACTTATAAAGGCTGTGATCCAGAAATCCCCCTTCAGATATGCTCAGACAAGAATACCCCACAAGTACCCTGGAAAAAACTGGGACATCCCAATTTTTTTACCACGAAAGAACAGCAGCCATTTGGGTTGCTGTGATCTCTTACGTGATTTCATGGTGCTAATTCCACACACACACACCCCAAACAAAAGCACTTGAGGGGCAGGGGGACTGAGGCATGAAATTGCACGAGATCACAGCAACCCAGTCTTTGAGCTCAGGAAGATGGCATCTGGGAATCTGGATTCAAAGTATTGGAAGGTATGGACAAGCAGATACAGTACTTTGATTCCTGGTGCTGGCCTCTCCCTTCATTCCACATAGAGAATACAAGTGGATTGGAAGTTAACTCTTATTCAACAGTGGTGAGAGGGTGGCAGCCTAGTTTAAGGGGTGCATGGCAGAATATGTGGCACATGCAACTCTGGCCTTCCCCCATAAGGGAATGGTAGGGTCTGCTCTGGCTTCCCTGCACAACACCTTCCAGTCCATTCGTAATTTGGCCCTTCAGTATTTACACTGCTCTTCCAGAAGCCTTTTACTTGGTATGGGGGGGAGTGTGAAATCCCCAAAAAGGATGTTACTTTTTTTCTGTATGCCACAACAGCTGCGAGAATATTACTATCGAAGAATTGGAAGAAACAAGATTTACCAACTATCAAAGAATGGCAGATGAAGATGATGGACTATATGGAACTTGCCAAACTGACTGGGAGACTCCGGGACCAGAGAGAAGAGATGGTGGAAGAAGATTGGAAGAAGTTTAAAGAATATTTCAAAAAAATATGTTAATACTTAAATCTTAGAATAGCTTTGGAAGTTGATATAGGCTGTAGGGTTAGAAGTAGAAGATAGTGTATTTTAAAATAGTATTATATGTAAGGAATAAAACTTTTATGGTAAAAGTAAGTGTGATTTAAAAAATGGTTTAAAATTACGATATATGTAAACTGCTAAAGATGAGGTAAAATGAAAATCAGATAGGGGGGACTTGGGGAAGCTCACCTAACAATGTTTAGAAAAAAATAAGGATAAGACAAGAATTTGTTTGTATTGTTTGTTTTTTTCCTGTTTGTGTTGTTTATTTGTGTTATAAAAGGAATAGCATTTTTTGAAAAAGAAGTATTTACACTGCTCTGATTCTCTCACACCCCTAAACCACAATTAAACTTATCCTTAGTTAATAAACCATAGTTAAAGCTGAGACATCAGGCTGATGAGCACTTAAACCAGGCGTGGGCAAACTCGGCCCTCCAGATGTTTTGGGACTACAACTCCCATCATCCCTGACCACTGGTCCTGTTAGCTAGGGATGATGGGAGTTGTAGTCCCAAAACATCTGGAGGGCCGAGTTTGCCTATGCCTGACTTAAACCTTGGTTTATTACATCACAGAATGGTTAAAAGCATCAGTGAAGGCAGCCAAGCCTTGAAAAATGTTTGATTGTTATTATTTCTTTTGCCAGTCTTCACTTGCAACTCTGTAGGCATTTGATAACTGAAAGACATTGTTCCAGGCAACCTTGAAACCACTGGTTTCTAACTGCAACTGTTTTTAGGATGTTTAAACTGTTTTGTAAAAAATAAATAAATAAATAAAAAATATTATTGATGTGTTTGCCATCCTGGGCTCCTGAAGGAGTTGTAGGATGTAAATTCCATAACAACAGTTTATAAACCAACTAGAAACTTTGGCCAATGAGCAACCTTTAAGGATGTTTAATAATCATAGTTAAAGCTGCTGGGCTGGCTTCACACATAATGCTAAGCCATGGTTAAATAAACCATGGTTTAATAAGCCATAGTTTAGTGATGTGAGAACGAAGCCACTGAATGTGTCAATTACGTGATGCAATTTTGTGTTGACGCAGCTCCATGTACTCAGTCCTGTTGTCAGCAGTCTCAAAGCATCTGTTTAGGTTCTGGGCTACTAGGGACAGTGTTGGGAATGCTTTATGCATTTTTGCTTTCTGATAATGGACAATAAAAGCCATTATTGCTCTGTGAATGCATCTGCTATGCCTTCTGTACAAAGGAAGTGCTACAGTGTGCTCTAAGTACAAATACCAGGACCATAGTATGCTCCACGGGGAAATCAGAATTATCTTTTTACCATTTCCTTGTCTCTTTATTCCAATAAAAAAGTTATGGAGCGCCTGCAGAGTGCTAGTTGATATGTGGCAGGAAATTTCCTGCCACTGTGCGAACAAAGATGTTTTTGTGTGCTTATGTGAAATCGAGCCCTAATGAGCTTTTCGGGGGGGGGGGGACACAGCTAAGCACTTTCAAGTCCCAATAATTTCAGTGGAAGAATTAAGCAAACATGGAAATCAATAGGACTTAAAGAGTGCTTAGCTTTGGCCGGCTCCTATATAATATTTCATCAGAACACAAGCTAAACACAAAAGGCAATGATCTGAAAATGTCTGGGACTCGAAAGCAAACTCACGTCCGTAAAGTGATATGCATGATATGCCAACATGAAAAATATTCTGCCAGCATATAAAATTGAGGGATAGCATCTCTGTTGGTGACATTCACAGTGTAAAGTGATGGGAACTCATGGATTCATGTTCAGTGCATTAATTTAGTTAATTGAGAGGTGATGTAATGTTATTGTTGTGACATGCAGGCATGGATCAGGACGTCCCTGCTTCAAAACTCAACTTTCCATTGATGTTATTATGTGACTTTAAACTCATGTAACTTATTAGGTGGCATACTTTCTGTGTTAGAACACCCCCCCCCTTTGCAATATGATACAGTGGTACCTCAAGTTAAGTACTTAATTCGTTCCGGAGGGCCGTTCTTAACCTGAAACTGTTCTTAACATGAAGCACCACATTAGCTAATGGGGCCTCCTGATGCCGCTGCGCTGCCAGAGCACGATTTCTGTTCTCATCCTGAAGCAAAGTTCTTAACCTGAAGCACTATTTCTGGGTTAGTGGAGTCTGTAACCTGAAGCGTATGTAACCTGAGGTACCACTGTATTGATAATGCTTCTCTACCTTACAGGGTTGTTGTGCAAACTGCAACAAGACAATGTACGTGAAGTCCTTTGTTCTTTCAATAAAGAATAACAATAATTTATTATTTGTAACTAGCCCATTTGACTAGGTTGCCACTCTGGGCAGAATCTAACGTATATAAAAACATGATAAAACATTGAACCTTAAAAAACTTCCCTATACAGGGCTGCATTCAGAAGTCTTTCAAAGGTTATATAGTTACTCATCTCTTTGACATCTGATGGGAGGGGATTTCTCAGGGTGGGTGCCACTACCGAGAAGGCTCAAAAACACTTGAGAACTATTCAATTAGGTTCTCTGCTTTAAAAGAGCCAGACCTCCTGCATGAACCATTGTGTTGAGTGACTGGGGCTCCCCGCTATCATCTGATGTCATCATGATGGCAAGTTATAACTTCAAAGGGGCTCAGCGTTGGCAATGAGCAGCAAGCCCTTTGGAAGGTGTGCCAACTGGCATTGATGTGCTCCTTCACTGGGGCTCGCTGTGAGCCATGCTTTGCCTGACTGCAGGTACTGTTTGGATTCAAACCACGCCTGTAAATGAACATTTTCCTTCCGTAGACTAGCAAAGCTGATCATCACTGACAGCAAGACCTTTCATCGCCAGTAAGACCAATGGGGGCACCCTTGTGTGGTTGATCCCCAAAGGGCTTGCTGTCATCTGATTGTCAGCAAGTCCTGCTTGCTAAGGTACAATTGGGAGTCTAATCCTTTAATCTACTTTAATCTCCCCTGAATAATACTGGGCAGGGATGGGGAGCTTGTCGCCCTCTTGGTATTGTTGAATTACAACTCTCATTCTTCCTGATCAGAGCTGCACTCCATTAACATCAGAGACGTTCCAAGTTCCCCTATCTCTGACACAAGCATCCACAGAGGTCCCTTTTGTCTGCAGTCACCTCCCCACTTAAATCTAGGCCAACACTGAGAAGGGAAGTTATGGCATCCCCATATGGTATGGGATCGCTCACCCTGACTGTTGACATGGGCAGGAATGGCAGGTGGTTCAGGGCGGCAAGGAGATTGGGGCTGTGCAGGCATGCTAGCAGGAACAGAGGGGTTGCTCTGCTGGTGAACCCATACAAAAGCGCCCCCGCAACCTCAGGTTGCCTTGCCATGCTTCATCCTAGTAAGAGGCAGCATCACGGAAGGGCTGTGACAGCACCACCCTACTGCGCCAGCCACTTCTGGGCACAGGGAGTTGACGTATTGTGATGACTCCCACTCCACCAGTGGAGTGTGGTCCTCTATGCAGGGTTAAAGAGGCGTGAACATGCAGGTGAAGGTGATGGAAAGTTGATGAAGGACCCTATGTAAGAGGCAGAACCTGTATTGCCAACACTGGCTGGTAGTGAAACTCCAGTGCTTTTAGGACTCCAGTGAGATTCAGCATGGACTAAATCTGCATGCTTCTGCATGTAAATAAAGCACATGCATAGGAAAGGGGCCCTAGAAGCATTCAGCAAAAGATGGCAGAATTGATGAGTTAGAATGTGGAAGTGCTTCTGCTCAGGCTGCCGGGGGGGGTCTATGTCGGATGCTCTGTAAAAAAAAAAAAAAAAAAAAAAGCTCTGCGCATGCAGGAGCGAACATCAAAGGCTGATCACTCACGCATACATTAGCCCATGCCACCCCAATGCTATATAGCACAGCTGTGTCCTGTTTTGACTATACAGTGGTACCTTGGGTTACATACGCTTCAGGATACATATGCTTCAGGTTACATACGCTTCAGGTTACAGACTCCGCTAACCCAGAAATAGTGCTTCAGGTTAAGAACTTTGCTTCAGGATGAGAACAGAAATCATGCTCCGGTGGCGTGGCAGCAGCAGGAGGCCCCATTAGCTAAAGTGGTGCTTCAGGTTAAGGACAGTTTCAGGTTAAGAACGGACCTCCGGAACGAATTAAGTACTTAACCCGAGGTACCACTGTACTGTTTGGTGAAGTCAGAGAGGATAGAAGGAGCACTGGCACAGAGAAGCTATGAGGAAGTGCAATAAATTAGGCTAATCAAATCTGCTGGAGAGATTCGACAACAAGTGTGATTAAGCAGGCAGGCAAGTCAAGACTGAGCTTGACACACAATCAAGGCAAGCTAAAGCATTGAGGTTTGCTAGATTTTACTCTGTTAACTGGGCTTTAAATAGGCTTAAATCCAGGCACTTGAGACGTAGCAAGGCGTGGTTAGCAAGTAGCCTTTGAGTAAGTTGCACTTCATCTTATGACTCAGTCACAAAGTCATTTCCCACCCCTCATAGGCATTTCGAAAGCAGCAGCATACATCTGTTGAATTCAAATATTGGTTTTGGTTTCCTTTTTAAAGAACAGGACCCGTCAGCACACGCTGTCTAAAGAAAAGTTTTTTGGAAAGTGAGCACCAGGAAGATTTCAGCAGGGCATTAGAAGGGATTATATTTCCATTATTTCACCAGTCGACTCAGAATGGATTTTGCAATACCTTCTATTCCAGTGGAACTGCCTGCACATCCTTCTCAGTCAAACAAGTTTCCGGAATCCTTGAATCATTAACCATGTGCTGAATATTATGTAAACGAGGCATGGCTATGTTGAACTACATTCTACTTCACTCGAACCTTTCAGCAGAGAGATCATGTTCAACTAAGAGCCTAGTAAGAGACAATACCCATTCTACAGAATGGTAAGTAGTAAGCAAAGGGAAAAAGGCTGAATATCCTTCAGTTTATTAAATAGAATTTTTGCAGATTGTTTTGTATACCTTGTAATTATGATTGAATATATGTAAACAAGTTAACAAAATTAGTAAAGGGGATAATCCCTGTCTTTGAATTTTATCCTGGATATTACAAGCGCTATGTTGGTTTTTGCAGGCTACTTTATAAAACCTAAGTGATCAAAGTGATCTTATTGCTTATATTGTTCTTAATAAGGAAATTGCTGAATATTTGCTGTACTGTTTTGTAATGGATATTAACATTGCTTGCAAACATCCATTACAAAAAAAAAAAAGGATCCTAGTTAAACCTTGTGCTTGTGGTAGCATTTCCATCTGTGTTGTGTACAGAAAAAAAATAACCTAGGAGATAAACTGACTGCAAGACTACGCACCCAATTCATTTTACAGTTGTACATCAATAGAAGGAATATAATCTGTGCACTGGACTTGTTTTCTGCATGGGGTGGATTTGTACTGCTGTTGCTCAAATATCACCTGGGAGACATCAGATCTAGCAATTTGGTGATGCACGAACAACCTCTTGACTGACATTGCAAGGATCTCCTCCAACACAGACCAGTCATAGATGCCTGTCTACAGCTAGGTGCAGTTTATTCACAGGTACAGGGCACAGGCACAAGAGAAAAGCCTTTTCTCAATCTCTTGACTGGGGCAGGTGTGTGTGTGTGTGTGTGTGTGTGTGTGTGTGTGTGTAATACATACGCAGTTCTTTAAATTACACATTTCTTTCTAGTCATTCTTTTGATGTACAGGCAACTTTCAACTTACGCTGGGATTACATTCCAGGGATAGAGCCTAAAGCCAAAATTGTATACAGTCAAAACACATCAGGTGCAATGAAGGGTGGGATTGCCAATTCCCCCCTCGCTTTCCACCCTCTTTTAAATAATAATAATAATAATAATAATAATAACAATAATTCCAAGAGCATAAAGCCAGATGTGTACAAGTTAAATGCAAGTAAGTTGCGAGATACCTGTCTAAGAAACCAATTTTCAGAAGGCATCTTGTTTTAAAACACATTTTAAGTGAGGATCAGTAGAACTTGTTTCTGCAAGTTCTTATTTTATTATTTTTGATTGGCCCCCTGTTTGTTCAAATTCACTTACTTCAGATATTTTAGGCTCCGAAAAAACAAACTTCTCAATGTGCAGATATTGAGTTGGATTCAGAGCAAGCTAGCTGCACAAGTTCCCACTGAAATCAGTGTGCGAATTTAATAGCCAGCATTAGTCATAGTAAACTCACTGAATCAATGAATGTGTCTGTTTATTTCAGTGGTTCTACTCTGAGTCTGATTAATGTTGAATACAACACATTGAGTTTTAAATTTTATTTCAGTCTTTGAGTTAATTTCTTTTGGTTTTTTTTTTTTTAATTGTTTGCAGCAATTTCTTGTTCTGCAGCAATTTGCATTTTCTAAAAAAAAAATAAATCCTGTGAAAATTCATCCACATTTTTGTGTGGTTTTTCTTTTCTTTTTAGTTTTGTATGCAGTTTTGACTATTTTTTGCAAGCAATTTCCCCATACACATTGCATTTTGAATTTTATATTCACAAATACATGAATTTTATGAACAAGTTCCCCTAATAAATGGGTTTTTGTAAACATCACTCAGGTGAAGCACTGCATGACAAAATTTGGGTACTTGTGAATTTTTGAAGGATTGCTGTATTTTGGGTTTCATGTTGTTTTTGAAAGTTGTTTTTGATTTGCCTTTAAATGTAAACTGAATTGGAACTCCCCCACCCCCGAATTTCCATCTCTCCATCCCCTGCCCCCGCTCCTTGTAATGGGAAGAAAACTCCAATGGTCACCACGAGAGTGTTCTTCTCATTGGAAATACTAGGCATGTAGAGGTCAAAGTGTTAAAGCCCCCTCCCCCTACATGAACCTAATTTGGCTCACTGCCTTCCTGGACCAGCCATTTATTTAACAAAATCATATATGCAATGTCAAACTAAATGGCAGATGGCACATAAAATTTGGCCTTAAGACAGAACAGAGGAGGGGTTTTTCCAGACTCAGTTAGATTAGGCCAGGGATGCCCAAACTTTTTTCAAAGAGTGCCAGATTTGATGAAGTGAACATGTGTGAGGGCCAACCAAAGTTCTTGAGCTTTTTTAAGGATTTTACCCCAGGACATATACTGTCACATGGGCTGGATTAAATTGACCAGTGGGCCGGATTGGACCCCCAAAACGGACTTTGGACATGCCTATTTTGTGGCCCCTCAGCATGACGCCCCGTGCGAGGGGGCAACCCACACCACTCTAAATCTAGTGTGTCTCAGATAATAAGTGAAGCTAGAGAGGAACTTCCTCAGCCTCCCAGCCTGCTATGGCAGTATTTCAGATCCCAGAGACTCTTAAGAAAGAAGCATAGAAAACTCAAGATCACTAAGAAAGTGATCTCCCACCCACCCCTTTTTTAAAAAAGTCTCTCTCTCTCCTGTTGAAACACACACCAAATACAAAGATAATCATATTCAAGTTCATTGTCCCCACCTTGTCAAGACGGCAGCGCCTCATTTTTCTTGAGAAGAGTTTTGCAATGAAATTTGTTTTATGCAAGAAGAGGGACTGAATAGCTTGAAGTGTTTATCTAACATTTGGCATGACTGAAAGTGCAGGAATATGACAAGGCAATAATCACATTGGCTGTGTAAGCTAAGCAATAAGTAAATGCTTTTTTAAAAAACCAAAAACCAAATTGACATTTGTTTTACATTTCCAGGATGGAGGTGACATCAGAGAATGCTGGGATAGAGAGAAATCCCTGGAAAGATATTACCTTTCCACCATGTACACGTTGGAGTTCATATTTGGCATCATTGGCAACAGCGTTGTTGTTTTTGGGTACATCTTCTGCCTCAAAACCTGGAGAAGCGGCAACATCTACCTGTTCAACTTGTCGCTGTCGGATTTTTCATTCCTTTGCACACTCCCGTTGCTGGTGTCAAGTTACTCTCAAGGGAATTGGTCCTATGGGAAAGACTGGTGTCAAGCCAACAGGTTTCTGCTGCACGTCAACTTATATACAAGCATCCTCTTCCTGACCGTTATCAGCATGGACAGATACCTGCTCATGAAGTATCCCTTCAGAAATCACTTTCTGCAGAAGAAAAGCACGGCTATTGTTTTATCAATTGCCATATGGGTCGTGGTCACATTGGAACTGACGCCCATGTTCACTTTCCTCAACGACCAGAAAAATAATAGCAATGGTAGCCTATGCGTGGATTATGCAAGCTCCGGAGTTGCAAAAGACAGCCTAATCTATAGTATGATACTGACAGTGACTGGCTTCATAATCCCATTGTGCGCCATGTGCTCTTTTTACAGGAAAACACATGCCTTCATCAAAAGCCGCAGCGCAGAGCTCACTGCTGCCCTGACTCTAGAGAAACCTCTCACCTTGATCGTCATGGCTGTGGCCATCTTTTCTCTGCTCTTTATTCCCTATCACATCATGCGCAATGTTAGGATCGCCTCCCGGATGCAGTCCTGGAAGCATCCCTCATGCGGCAAGGACCTTATCAGTATGATTTATACTGTTACAAGGCCCATTGCCTTTTTGAACAGTGTAATTAACCCCATCTTTTACTTCTTAATGGGGGATCACTTTAGGGAGATGCTGGTGAGTAACGCAAGGTATCTCTTTAAAAGGGTCACGCCTTGGTACAAATGATGCTAAATGCACTTCTTGGACTGATGGAAACTGCGTGGAAGGCTGGAGAGCTTTGGCTCACTGGTGCACAACATTTGATGATTGCTTGGGATTCGGATGCTATGCAACGGTCTATCCCCCTTAAAGCGCTTGAGTCCAAGTGCCTGTGCAAAGCTGCACTCAGATTAAACTGAGAAGAGGAATGAAGCCCCACACCACTGACCTTGCCCCTGCCTGGATAGCTCAGGTGGTTAGAGCATGGTGATGATGACACCAAGGTTGCAGGTTTGATCCCCATATGGGGCAGCTGCATATTCCTACATCACAGGCAGTTGGACTTGATATCCTCAGGGACCCTTCCAACTCTACAATTCTATGATTCTATGACATTACACAGCCAAGCTAGCCTGGCTCCTGACATCTTGGCTCCTGACATCTTGGCTCCTGCCAAGGAGTGTGGTGGAGTCTCCTTCTTTGGAGGTCTTTAAGCAGAGGCTTGACAACCATATGTCAGGAGTGCTCTGATGGTGTTTCCTGCTTGGCAGGGGGTTGGACTCGATGGCCCTTGTGGTCTCTTCCAACTCTATGATTCTATGATTCTATCTCCACTAGGAGTGCAGCTATCTGGATACAGGTGGATCTGGAAAGTGCCTAGAAACTTCAGTTGATGCAGGATGAAGCCACCAGGCTGTTGACTGGCTTAAATGTTTAAAGCTTTATATAGGGCAAGACCTGGATAATGAAACAGCCTAGCATCTTATAAGACTGTGGTCTCCAATGCAACCTGACCATCGACAGAGATCTGTGCACAACAGACCTTTTGGAGGTTAGGCAAGTGGGTTCTGTCGAGCCGAATTTTCAGTGGTGGCCACTGCAACTATGGAGCTCTGTGTAAATGTTTGCCTTTTGTCATCATTGCTATTTTTTAGACGCCAGGCCAATTCCATCTTCCCATGTGTAAATGGTATTCATGATTGTTATTGTGAGTCAGCTCCCTTTGTTTGTATATATCGCTGGTATTTTATATGAGCTGTTTTTATATATCTTGCAGCTGCTACCCACATGTTCAATGAACACATATGGGGTGGGGTGGTTGTGTGGCATCTTTGCAGACGTGCCCTTCCCCATCCTGTACTTGAATGCTTGAGAGTGTGGCCTGCATGTATTGAATGGGCTATTTTATTTATTGATTTTGTATGCTGCCTTGGGGGCTTTTAAGTATAGAGATTTCTTAAATAAACACAGTTGAGAACTAGCTTGCTTCTACTTCTGCCCAGACACTGAGGTCCAGCGCCAAGGGCCTTCTGGCGGTTCTCTCGCTGTGAGAAGCCAAGTTACAGGGAACCAGGCAGAGGGCCTTCTTAGTAGTGGTGCCTGCCCTGTGGAACGCCCTCCCACCAGATGTCAAAGAGAAAAACAGCTACCAGACTTTTAGAAGACATCTGAAGGCAGCCCTGTTTAGGGAAGCTTTTAATGTTTAATAGGTTATTGTATTTTAGTGTTTTGTTGGAAGCCGCCCAGAGTGGCTGGGGAAACCCAGCCTGATGGGTGGGGTATAAATAATAAATTATTATTATTAATAATCATACTCCCTAATACATGAACATGGCGTTCTTTGCCCCCAACACAAAGCCTTCTACCAAGCCCCATCTGAGTCTTGAAAGCTGAGGCTTCATCTTCTGTATCATCCAGACCTTCAATATCCTATGTAGCAATAACCAGTTTCAAGTAAAATTGAATTAAAGCACCATGGGAGAGAGAAATTAAAAACCAGAAGACAAAACTCGTCCATGCATCCAGTCCATCAGCTACCCTTGGCCTGTGAAGTTTAGGTTATACTGTAGGAGTAAGGAAGCTTTTTCATCCCGCGGGCCACATTCCCATCAGGACAATCTTCTGGGGGCCACAGGCCAGTGGTGGGTGGGCCAGTGGCAAAAGTGAGTGACAAATTCAAATTTTACCTTTGTTGGTTGGATGCAGAGGGATGCTGGGAGGAACCAGCTGAGGAACCCTCAAGGGAAGAAGGCTTAGAGCCAGGTGGTGGGACGATGATGAGTGGTCAGAGGGAGAAGAGGGAGAAGACAGGGGGGAGGAGGTGTTGGAAGCTGAAGAGGTATCAGGGTTTAGTGAGCAGGGGGAGTCCATGACAGAGAGAAGTCCAGAATCAGAAGTGAAAGCAGAAGAGGAGGGAGGCAAAGAGGCAGAGATGAGTTAACCTGGTGAAGAAACACAGGCGCCTCCAGCTGCTGCTGGGACAAACCAGGACCAGGAGAGGAACGAAGCAGGAGGAGTAAAGGCAGACATGCCGGCGTAGTCTCAGATTGCTTGGGAAAGACCTAAAGAGGAGATTTAGGCAGCTGTGGGAAGGCCTTCAGTATCCGCAAAGGCCACATAGGGAAAAGACCTACCGAAGAAGAGTGAGTTGCTGTGCTCATTAGGCATGGCACTCCTAAGCAGATCCTGTTTTTCTGAATAGAGTTAACTTCACTTACTCCATGCGTGTAGTGATTACGTTGCCTAGTTGGTTGTCACACTAGTTTCTGGATCAGGCATCCATTGGGATACATCATTATATTTATTGTTGTATTAAAGCATCTGTGTCTATTGTTTTATTTTACTTGGTGGTTTGCACAGTTATCTCTTCACAATATTCCAGCAGCAGGATGTTTCAATTTTTAATCTTCACCCAACTTATTCTTTTTGTCAGCCAATTATCTTTGCTATTCCAGACATCAATAAGCCAGTATGGAATTGACCAAGATATTTGCCACGTGATCATCAGTGTGTTTCCCACATCCCATCATAGGGGAAGACTGTGGCTCAGTGATAAAGCCTTTGATTTGCCTGTCAAAGGTTCTAGGCAGGACTGGGAGAGACGTCTGAAATCCTGAAGAGCTGCTGGGGAAAACTGTAGTAGAGGAACCAATGGCCCAACTCAGTATAAGGCAGCTTTTTGTGTTTCTGCACAATGTCCTCAACTTGGGGGGGGGGGCGGGAAAGGGTGTTGGAGTGGATTTGAAGAAAGTGTGGTGGTTTCCAAGTAAAAGAAAAAAGGAACTTGGATGATTAAGCCACCCTCAGTAATGTTTGCCTGAAAGTAAATGGGTGGTGTTGCCACCACAACATTTTCTGTTTGATGTACATATCACAATAAGACCACTTACTATTTTCTAAAGAAGGAAGCAGAAGGCAACAGATGGTAAGATGGCCTAGGAGATCTCGGCAAGCAATAATGTTGTGGTAGTCACCAGGCAGCCCCTGAGAATTAACAACCTACTGAAATCAAATAATGAGCTAAAAGTAAAGCCTGAAAGTTCCTAAAGAGTCAGAGCAATGAATAAATGAAAGACACAAGTCCAGAACAGAGAAAAATAAACGGTTGTGCTTTCGGCACGCAAGCAAGCTTGGGAAGTCCACCTGCAGCTAAGCCACCATCTTTAAGAGGGCAACTAGGAGCAACACCCATGCTTAATTTTTGCCAGAGTTCATACACAATGCACCAGAGTCCTGAGAGTGCCTCCCTTCATATCAGCAGCTTGGCAGAAAATATACAGAATATTTTTTTCTTTCCTAAATCAGACTGCAGTAGGGTTAAAATATAGGCACTTCTAGATCACAGGAGGGAGGTTTGTACTCTAGCACCTCTCACATTACTAATTAAGTAATTCACCAGTGCTATTTTTTCTAGGAAAAGAGATGCTGGAACTCACTATGAACACCTCCCTTGTTCTCTTAGAATGGCAATGGCACCCACCCATGATGTGCCAGAACTGAGTTCCAGCGAGTTCCAGCTGGGGGGGGGAAAGGCCATTATTTCTTGAGTCTTTAATTCTCTTCCTGCTTCAGTGAAGGGTCTTTTTTTAGTCAAAAGAATTTCACTTTTGCCAGACTGCTCATATACGCTGTTGTTAAATTTATGAAATCCTTTCTGTACTTAATTCAAGTCATGCTCCTCTACGTTAATTCTGGGGGGAAATAAAAGTTGTTGTTCTGGGCTCTTTCATCTGCAAAGATTAGAAACTTAACAGCGTGAATCCTTGTACAAATACGTTGCCGTGAATATTTGAGGCTTCTGTTTTTCAGAACGCTTGCAGCTATCTTTGAAAGCAAACAAAGACAATTTACATGATGGGAATGGGCAGAAATGAGGCAGACAAATGTCAGCACTCTTCCTTCCTTTATGGACAACTGCATTGGCTTGTGCCAGAATTAGGAACCTGGTTCAGTTTTATTGTTGTTATTTTTTATTTTTTATTTGGATGATGCAGTAAAAAGTAGAGTGAAATGACTTATAGATCCATCACAGGTTTCACTTGTAAATCAGCAGGTTATGAAACTGTCTGAACTCGGTTACTGGGGTGCTGGGATGATGAATTCAGATATAAAATGAATTTGTTGAGCAAAGAAGAGAGGAGAGTTGAAGTAAAGGCAAGACTTAACAGCATTTATGCCAGTCAGGGGATTTCAAAGCTCAGACCTGCAGAATCTATGTTCAGTCCATAGTCTAAACCAGGGTGGGGGCCTTCTGGCAGTGGGGTCCAAATGTGGCCCTCAGACCTCTCTGCCTGGCAGTATAACTCTCCCAAGGCTACACACGTCATTGGTCCTGCTTCACACCTCAAATATCTTTGCTTGGCTGGAATGTGTTGTTGAACTCTGGTAATGTCCCTTGCTTGCCTGGATACAGTGGTACCTCGGGTTACATACGCTTCAGGTTACAGACCCCGCTAACCCAGTAATAGTGCTTCAGGTTAAGAACTTTGCTTCAGGATGAGAACAGAAATTGTGCTCTGGCGGCGTGGCAGCAGCAGGAGGCCCCATTAGCTAAAGTGGTGCTTCAGGTTAAGAACAGTTTCAGGTTAAGAACGGACCTCCGGAACGAATTAAGTACTTAACCCAAGGTACCACTGTAGAGTAGTGTGTGTGTGTGTGTGTGTGTGTGTGTGTGTGTACATAAACTAGTCTACTCTACAAAGGTAAGATTTGCATCAGTTGCCCCACCCACTTTTGCCTCTGGCCCCACCCACCATGGTATATGGTCCTTAGAAGGTTGTTCAGAAGGGAATGCCATCCACGAGCTGAAAAGGTTTTGCCATCACTGTTCTGAACCCTGGAATATATGAAGTAAAAGTGAAAATGGCCCTGAAGATGTAGGAAGTCCCCTTATTTCACTACTGAGTAACCACGCGACATTCTTACATTTCCAAAAAGGGCAAAAGGATATGATTCACAATTAAGCCAGTTTTGAAATAGAGGCGAGCATTTAAATCAGCCCTCCCTGATCTTGGTGGTCTCCAACCCTCAAATTATGTCATTTTCAAAACTCAAACTCCAAAAAGACCTAAGTATGCGACACTGCTGGCTCCCAGCCAGTAACTTGCAGTTTGCAATTAACACTGAAAAAAGGGAAAACCCTTTGAATCCACAAAATAGAAGATAAGGCAAATATGCTCATTGTCTATATGTAACAGCTAGTACTAGCTGAGTAAACTGCAATGCTTAATGTTTTAAAACAACAACAAGAACAATTTCAAACTAGTAAGACTAAAGACAAACCTCAGCGCTCAAAACAAAGTAGCCTCTCTAACCACCATCTTGTCTCTTTCCTCTACTGGCTCCCCAGATTGTGGCAAATTAATTCAGATTTTTTGTTTTGTTAATGGATATTCAACTTAGAACCTTTCGTGGGTTTTCCGTCCACAACCATTTGACTTTGAACTATAAATTTGATGAGCAAGCAGTGTGATTCCTGACACCACACTTTGGCAAAGAAACAGAGATGATATTTCTTCCAAGTCCTGGTACCTGGGCCTTGTCTCTCCCCATTTCCTGACTTGCATGAAATTAAACTGTTCAATAGCCACATGGAAACGTATCTCAATTGAGCAAATCTGTCTTGGTGATGTGCTTGTTTATCTTCAGTGCCAAGGACTCCCTAGTGTGGGGAAAATAAATAAATCCGCCAGCTTGCAGCCGTTCTTCTGAGAAACCAGCTTATATAACATTCAGGTCTCATGACGAGGTGAAGGAAAACCAGTTTGCTCACACAGAAAGTATATCACACTAGAGAGATTCTTTCTAAAGATCACCATCATTAACTTGGAATTACCTTTTACTTCAGAGTTCTGTTTATCTTGCACAATTTTAACATCCTATTCCTGACAGAAAACTTGAAACACAACATGATATAATGTAACAAAACACTTGTTTTTCAGCCAGCCAAAAATCCTGAGGATTCAGAGACTCTTTGCTACTGCATCAA